AACGTTATGCCCCTATAATTGGAGCATTCCTTGTAGTCTCCCTTCTTGAATACGGGTACAATAACTCCCGCTCTCCAGTCAGCTGGTGTCTTTGACGCAGTCATCGCAGTTTGACAGACACGTATTAGCCAGGCATGCCTTGTTCGCCTAATGTCTTGAACATCTCAGGACGGATTTCGTCAATTCCAGCAGCTTTTCCATTTTTCAAGCTTTTCACAGCTTGTGCAGTTTCATCTATAGAGATAGTAATATCTGTTCCCTTCTGCTCTACAGGCGAGTTTTCCTGCGGTTGCGCAGGGTTAAGGAGTTCCTCAAAGTGTTCCCTCCATCGCCGAAGAATGTCATCATGCTTGGTAAGAGGGTGTCCAGATGTGTCTTCAAGACTCTGAGACTGCCCGTCTTTTCACCTCGGAGCCGGCGGATGGTCTGCCAGAATACTTTGTTTACCGTGTGGAAACTCGAATTCCAACATTTCACCTTCTCTCAGGAATCAGCCTTGGCTTTTGCCGCTGCTGTGGCTGCCGCCTTGCGTGCCTCGACGTATCGCACCCTTGTAGAAGGCTTCTTTTTTCCAAGCCATTTCTTGAACGCTGCTTTCTTCTCTTTAACTGCTAGTTGTACCACTCGTATCCATCATGAAGATCTTTTCTGACCTCCAGGCGGGAGGCCAACCGATTTCTATCCGTAGGATTCAGCGGTAGCCTCGAGTATGCCGCTTTTAAAGAGCTGCCACTCGGTTTCAATATCAGTTGTCATCATTGGGATCTATGGAAATGGTCGTGTGATGTTTGCAAATTTCGCTCTTGTGTCCACCGAATATAATGTTTCCCATTTGATTCCCTGGTTGCTTCTGCCACCAGATCTTCGTGTGGTACTGGAGAGTGCTCAATGATGCCATATCGAGTTTTCAGTATTAATTCCTTTGTTACGATGTAGAACTGATGTGAACTTGAGATGATGCGTTTCCTCGGTCGTTTTAGTTGTAGGTACGTATCCATTCTTAAGAACAAAAATGGAATTGAAAACCTATACAGTTTCGCGCTCACAGAAACTTGCCGTTTCGTTAATCAAAGTTGACAGATGAAAGAACGTGAGTTGAAAGGATGGTTTGTTGATTTGCGTTTTACTCTATTGTGCATGTGTGTGCTTAGTTCTTGACAGATCCTTGAGAATTTTATCTTCAGGTGCATCTGGCGTAGCATCTGCGCGGGCGCGTGTAATCATTGTTGGTACCCATGCTGACATCGCTGATCCTCAAGGTATGAAAAACCCAGACGGTATTTGGCAGTGCACCGAAGCTGATGCTATGCTTAACACAATACAACATCGCTTCTCGGCTGATTTCGATATTTACGACTCACTGGTACTTGTTGATACTGTTCAGCCAAATTGTCCAGGAATGAAGTTGCTGAAATCGTACCTGACTAAATGTCGCCAGGAAATATTGGAGGCACTACTGGTATTAAATAAATTCGTTTCCTTATTTCGTTTTTAGCACTTGCCCAAAATTTCGGGTTTTTTCGAGGCAACAGTAAATTACCTGGCAGTGTTACGTAAGTCTATGTCTGCATTTCCGGTCATCTCATGGCAACTGCTGGTCAGTCTTCTTCGGAAGGATGTTAACCCCTTTGCGTCAGATTATCAATGTCGTCATTTGCTTCAGCAGTTGCAAGTATCCGGAGAGGTAAGCGATGCTGTAGTCAGTGCAATACATGAGTTATTTTTTTAGGTACTGTACATGAAGGATAGTAAGGTATCAGATTTGATTGTTCTGTCACCGAACTGGTTTTGTCATCATATACTTGGTAAAATTTTATCCCCTGAAATTCTACAGAAATCGAATGCTTCTGGTTTACTGAAACGAACGGACATTCGTCGCATGTTCCATGACGTTTCGGACATTTCTTTACTGATGTCACTCTTGGACTCAGTCAATCTATGCACGGCTGTCGAAGGATATGATGATGGAGAATATGAATTTCCAGCTCTTAACTATCTGCCTGTTCCAGCTGATATACTGCGACACTCTGCTGAGCGAAACGTCGTTTACGGTGCCGTTCGACTGTTACCGTCCTGGGGTACAGACAGCATGATCGGCTGTATATTTTACAGGTATAGTTTTACCACATCTCTGACATCTGTATTCTAAAACAGCCGCAGTAAATTGACTGACCTTTTGTCTTGTTAAACAGATAGTCGGCGTTGCTAACTTTGGACACTTTCGCACTACTTACGCGCTGACTACATTTTGTTTAGGGTGCAGATGAACTTGAGACGTTCAGTTGCTGAATTTAAAGATCCTTCTGAAGCGACTTTGTCGCAGTGGCGTGGGTGTAGCAGACTGATCAGTGGAGGCATGGAAGGTATTTTATCCGTATTCGGTGCCGATAGAGGTATTGAGGTCAAGGTTCGAGGTCTTGCGGAGCAGAGCAAAAACTGTTTTTATTTTCTCGAAGACTTAGTGAGCATTGTTGAACATACTGTTGCCGAAATGGCTCCTGGATTGTTCCTGCAGAGATATTTTTTGAGCCCAAAAGACCTCAGTAAAGGCAGTTGCCCCGCT